TGAAGGCTACTATTGAACTTATGAGGACTAATTATGGGTCTTATTTTGATAATTTAAACATTTAATATGTAAAACTCGTCTAGTATTATATACTTATAAAAAATTACGTTAATCAGATGTCGATAGCTATCCAATCGGATCAGATTTTTGTTAATCGTTTGTTTTTTACCGTCCATTTTTTTTATACAAAACTGATTTCATTATGTACCTATCGATATTCGATCGGCGTAATTTTTTACAAGCATATAGTACTCGACGAGTTCTATACATTCAACGATTCAGATTATCGAAACGGGACCCGTAGTGGGCCCTCATGGGTCCAACAGCACTCTCCAGTCTGATCATGAACTGGAGGGAAGTCAACCCCTAAATTCTATGCTTATTAAGTTATTAGTTATAGTTTATATCAGAATTAAAATTAAATTGAATCATAATCAAAATACTACAATAATCATAGTTAAGATCACTTTAACCAGAGCATTTGACGTAGTGGTTGTGTAGCATCAGTGGTGGTGTGACCTTGTGAGGTCACGTATTAGGTGTGTAACACCATTTATAATGTAAGGTTTTGAGTTCAACTCTTATGGAGAGAAATTTGCAATCCTTTGTAGTGATTAATTTATTTCTCCCCCATAATAAGAATTGTTGTATATGTGATTAATAGTGGTTGGTGGGTTTGGCTCAGTGGGCTTGATGGATTAGTTGTTAGACGTTTTGTTATTAGTTGTCATTAGTGATATGTTATGCGATTTGTAATGATTGTTGGACTTGGCTGACTAGTTTATTTCTCACTTATTAGGTGAGTTGTATATGATTATAAACTTGGCTTAATAGATTGGTTATTAAGCTTTCTAGGTATTGTAAGTTAGTGATCTGGTAGATGATATAAATATTTTTTGTAATATAATTACTCTCCAATCTATTGACTAAAAAAAAAAAAAATTTAGAGATTTCAAAAATTTTACTAAAATTTTTACTATGTCTTACATGGGTGTGAGACCTATATGGTGTAAGTCTCACACCCATGTTGACATTTGATAAAAAAATTTGATATAATTTTTAACGTCTCTAACATTACTCAAAAAAAAAAAAAAATCACTTTATTCATAACAACAAAACAACGTATCAATTTGAGTCATAACTTAAACTGTTACAAAGTCTGCTAATTTTTCGATTATTAACCGATCATCACATATTCTCATAACTATGTTTATCACAAATGTGATCACCACAAAACCTCACAATTTAGCATAAATTTTCATAATTACAATGTATCATGGATCTAGGGGGAGGGGTTAATTGTAAAAATTATGTATATTATAATAATAATAATTAATAAGATAATTCAAAAGATAAGAAGTTATTATCGTCCCAAAATTTGAATTCTTTATCTGTCATTCTGTATCACAAATGTGTCACAATATAACCATAAATTTTCATAACTAGAATGTATCACAAATGTGGTCATCACAAAACGGCGAAATTTAGTTATAAATTTTCATAACTAGAATGTATTACAAAGGGTCATTGGACGGTGTTGTTAGACCGTAAAACTCACCACGAATCTTGTTTTGATAATTCGAACCGTGTAATGTGTAGAGTTTGTCGAGTACTTTATCTTTATAAAAAATCATGTTGATCGGATATTGATAGTTACTTGATTGGATTAGATTTTTGTCAACAGTTTATTTTGAAAATTATATTTACTGTTGACAGAAATTTGATCCAATCAAGTAACTATTGATATCTAATTAATATGATTTTTTATAAGAATAAAGTATTCGACAAGCTCTATACATTGAATGGCTCAAATTATCGAAACAGGACCCATGGTGAAGCCTACAAGTCCAACAGCATGTTCTGATCTAATCTCAGACTAAAAAAACACCTGACCCTATTACAAATGTGATCACCACAAAACCTCACAATTTAGCCATAAATTTTCTTAACTAGAATGTATGGTACCCCATCTTTTAATGCATGTACCATAACCTTTCTAAATAAATATAGGGTAAATTAGATTTGTAGTTTTTATAATTTATACTACGTAAAATTCAATTGATAATATCTAATTAAAATTTATTTATTTCTGATAACGTATTGTTCGGGCCAACTTTTATCGGATTCGAATTATGACCTCTTGAGTAATAAACTTTTTGGATTTAAAGTGATTGAGAAATTAACATTTAATTTGAAAATATTCAATTTCTTATGCATGAGTCATTTTATTCTTGATTTCTATCCAATTCTTAACTATGTTATCAATTAAATTAAATTAAAACAATGTAAAAAAAAAATTATGGAACAAAATTGATACAATTCAAACTATAGAAATTAAATTAAAACAAAATACAATAACTATTGATATAATTTATCCAAAAATAGGTTAGGGTAAAAGATGCCTAATTTTTTTTATTTAGATATCGTTTGAGAACATATTATTTTAATAAATTTTTGATTTTTACGAAAAGATGTAAAAAATATAATAATTTTTTGATTTTTACGAAAAGATGTAAAAAATAAAAAGAATGATGTGACAATTTATAATAATTTTTTGACTTTTTAACTAAAATATATAATTGACAAACGAAATCTTAAATTGACATAAAAATTTCTTTTTATTTTATTTTTTCATTTTTGTTATCACCAAGTACTAGTTTTTGCACACTTCAATTAATTTTAAAAATTGGGGGCCTCTGTTTTCCAATCACACTGATTTTGGCGATTTCCGGGGCTGCTCCGGCGAGCTTCAAATCTTGTTTTTCTCTCTTTTTTTCTTCCGATCGCTCCGCGTAGGGGAGAGGGGGACCTATTGAAGGTCAATTTATGTGCCGACAGTGCTTCAATCCCGTCGATCTGGGTTTCTTTTTCGCCGTTGACTTGGTTTCCCCTCCCCTCGGTCTCGTTGGTAGATCTGGGTTTAATTTGCTTTTATAGGTGTTTTTCGGTGGGATTCCGATGGTCTAGTTGCTGTCCTCTTTTGTGTTTTCCGGCGATTTCTACGGCTTGTTTCTGCTTCGTGGATCAGGTGTTTCACGGCGAGACCACTTGTTTTCTTGGGATTTTTCTAGTGAGCTTTCAATTACACTTTCTGGGTGCTTGGAACAATGCTCAAGCAAGGTTTTTTACTTAACTCTAAAGTGGTCCCCAAACGTCTTTCCAAAGAAGAGAAAGGCAAAGGCATTGTCATGTCAGGGGCTTGTGCTCAGGATAAGTTGCAGGGTTCCTTATCCCCTGACTTATTATCCGTTTTGGACCCGTTGGACATGGCTCTAATTCAGGATTCTCTGGGTAATGGTTTTCAATTTGATTGGGATGCTGCTTTGGAACATCTACAGCCTAAAGTGAGCTTGGATGATACAATCTTTCCATTTCCAAAAGGCAGTGAACAACCTGGGTCTTCTAATACTGGTGTTGTTGTTGAACCGAGTGGTCATTCTCCGAGTAAGGATCATAGACCAGGAAATGGAGCAGGGTGGGTTTGTGGCAATGTCATCAGAGAGGGGCCTCACAGTGGGTTTGGTTGCAGTCAGAATAGTGAGGTTGATGTGTATGGTACTTCGCTCAACAAGGCCAATAAGCCCACGCCGAAGGTCAAGCGTCCAAGAAGAGTGCGTTTGGGCAAGGATTTCCTCCTCATTGATCGTAACTCGTGTCAAGCTCTTAAATATATTTAAAAAGTAAAAAATTTGTGAAAAAAACCTTTTAAAAATTCACTAAATACCAAAAATATAAAAAAAAATACAAGAATTCAGTATATATTTTGTATTTTTATGTATTTATTAATTTTTTAAAATATTTTTTCACAAATTTTTTACTTTTTAAATACATCTAAATAAGGTGCATCTAAAAAAATATTTAAAATTTTAAAAATATTCACAAAAAAAAAAAACGCGAAAGTCACTTTTTGCGACGGCATAAAATGCCGTCGCGAAAAAGGAGAGTATTTGCGACGGCATAATTTACCGTCTCAAAAAAGCAGAGTATTTGCGATGGCAAAAAATACCGTCTCAAAAAAGCAGAGTATTTGCGACGGCACAATTTGCCGTCTCAAAAAAACAGAGTACTTGTGATGGCGGAAAATACTCTCCTTTTTTGAGACAGTATTTTCCGCCGTCTCAAAAAGTGACTTTTTGAGACGGCAAGTGTGCCGTCGCAAATAGTTCCGTATTTTTAACCCACTTTTCTTGTAGTGGTACCCCATCTTTTAATGCATGTACCATAATCTTTCTAAATAAATATAGGGTAAATTAGATTTGTAGTTTTTATAATTTACACTATGTAAAATTCAATTGATAATATCTAATTAAAATTTATTTATTTATGATAACGTAGTGTTCGGGCCAACTTTGATCGGATTCGAATTATGACCTCTTGAGTAATAAACTTTTTGGATTTAAAGTGATTGAGAAATTAACATTTAATTTGAAAATATTTAGTCTCTTATGCATGAGTCATTTTATTCTTGATTTCTATCCAATTCTTAACTATGATATCAATTAAATTAAATTAAAACAATGTAAAAAAAATTATGGAACAAAATTGATACAATTCAAACTATAGAAATTAAATTAAAACAAAATAAAATAACTATTGATATAATTTATCCAAAAATAGGTTAGGGTAAAAGATGCCTAATTTTTTATAGACATTGTTTGAGAACATATTATTTTAATAAATTTTTTATTTTTACGAAAAGATGTAAAAAATAATAAGAATGAAGTGACAATTTGTAATAATTTTTTGACTTTTTAACTAAAATATATAATTGATAAACGAAATCTTAAATTGACATAAAATTTCTTTTTATTTTATTTTTTTATTTTTTGTTATCAGCAAGTACTAGTTTTTGCACACTTCAATTAATTTTAAAACCAACACAAAAAGCGGCTCCACGTGGACTAGCAAATAAGTTTACAAGCTGCCTCCTAGAAATCAATTAAGCTTAAATAAGGTAGTTAATGAGTAAATGGACAATCGGTTCTCCTCAAAAAGATAATCTCACATCCACATCTTGCAAAGATCTTTTGATGCAGTCACTTTGGGCTTCTCTGGTTCAAAACAATCTCACATTCCTCTCTCTCTCTCTCTCTATCTCTCTCATTCACACACAGCTTTGTCCCCAAAACCCACACAACACATCCACCTGCATTTTCTCTCACCTCTCTCACTTTCTCTCTCCTCCATTTCACAGATCTTCTCTTTCTCTTCCACACTGTTCCATTCAAAGCTCATCAGAAGCCATGAAAGCCCACTTTCTCAGACCTCTCTATCTTCTCCTTGAGTTCTTGCTGATTCAAACCCATCTTTGCTCATTTTCCACCTCTTCCCAAATGCTGGTTTTGCCCCTCAAAACCCAAGCAATCCCATTTGGGTCATTTTCTCGGCTTCCAAACAAGCTTCCTTTCCACCACAACGTCACCCTCACAGTCTCTCTCTCAGTCGGCACTCCCCCACAGAACGTTACCATGGTCCTCGACACAGGCAGCGAACTCTCATGGCTTCACTGCAACAAAACCCAAATTTCCCAACCCGTATTTGTCCCGAATAACTCCTCTTCCTACTTACCCATCAACTGTTCCTCGCCCATTTGCACCACCCGAACCCGAGACTTGTCCCTACCCGCTTCCTGCGACTCCAACAACCTCTGCCACGCGGTCCTATCATATGCTGACGCGTCATCATCAGAAGGGAATCTCGCATCCGATACATTTAATATCGGGGGGTCCGAAGTTCCGGGTACGATATTCGGGTGTATGGATTCGGGTTTCAGCAGTGACTCCGACGAAGACGCCAAGACTACCGGGTTAATGGGCATGAACCGTGGGTTACTTTCTTTTGTTTCGCAAATGGGTTGTCCTAAATTCTCATATTGCATTTCGAGTTATAATTTGTCGGGTCTTTTATTGCTTGGTGATTCAAATTTTACATGGCTTGCACCGTTGAATTACACACCGTTGATTCAAATTTCAACTCCATTGCCGTATTTTGATCGTGTGGCTTACACGGTTCAGCTCGACGGGATTAAGGTTTCGGAGAAATTACTTCCATTGCCAAAATCAATATTTGAACCGGATCACACCGGGGCCGGTCAAACCATGGTTGACTCCGGTACCCAGTTCACCTTCCTTCTTGGCCCGGCTTACACTGTTTTAAGGAATGAGTTCTTAAACCAAACAACCGGAATTTTGCGGGTCTTGGAGGATCCGAATTTTGTCTTCCAAGGATCCATGGACCTATGCTACCGGGTCCCACTGGGTCAAACCACCTTACCACAGTTACCAACGGTAAGTTTGGTGTTTCGGGGCGCTGAAATGACGGTTTCGGGTGACCGGTTGTTATATCGGGTTTCGGGTGAAATCAGAGGGAATGATTCAGTGTATTGCTTCACATTTGGGAACTCTGATCTATTGGGGATTGAAGCGTATGTGATTGGCCATTATCATCAACAAAACGTGTGGATGGAATTTGATCTTGAGAAGTCTAGGATTGGGTTAGCTCAGGTACGTTGCGACTTGGCTGGTCAAAGATTTGGTGTGTATCACTAGCGTCACGACTCATGATCCTCCACGCTTTATATACAGGAGTATTTTGAAAAGTTAGAAAAAAAATTAATTTTTTGATTTTTTTAATTTATTTTATCTTTTTATGAGTGAGTTATGTAAGAAATGTTGTAACTTAAAATGAATAAAAAATAAAAAATTGATTTTTTACCAACTTCTTAAAGGATTTCATAATTGCATTACGAGAAAGTGGTCCTACATGGGGCATGTCATTATGTAGGGGTGCTTTGGTAAGGATCAGCTTTTGGCTTTTTATTCATTTTGGATCATATCATCTTTCATAATTTTTATTCATTAAAAGATAAAATAGATTAAAAAAGTCAAAAAGTTAACTTTTTACCGACTTTCCAAAATATCGCCTAGTTTTTAGAAAAATAATTAAAAAACATCTTTTAATTTTTAATTTATTTTGAGTGATAATATTTTTTTATTTTCTTTAAAAAAAATTAAAAAATTAATTTTTAATTAATTTCTCAAAATAATTTTATATTTTTAAAAAAGTTAATTTTTTACTGACTTTTCAAAATATCACGTAGTTTTTAGAAAAATAATTAAAAAATATCTTTTAATTTTTAATTTATTTTGAGTGATAATATTTTTTTTATTTTCTTTAAAAAAATTAAAAAATCAATTTTTAATTAGTTTCTCAAAATAATTTTATATTTTTAAGAGGAATTATATGCGGGTGGAGAAGAAAAAAAAAACCAACAATGATAGAGACCACTAATTTTGAAGCTCTAAAAAGACCACTAATAACATGGCACTCAATAAAATAAAATAAAAAATATAACACCAAAGTCAAAACATCAAATCATTCCTGGTGGAACCCACTGCCACATCATTAGTGATAGCACTAATTAGTGCTCTCACTCATTTTCCAAAAAAAAACGCGAGAGTCTTTCGTTGACACTACAAAAACACTTGCATTTCTCATGTAATTTTTTTTTATTTTTTTTAAGTAATTTCCCATATTTTTATGGGTTGGTAGGCTCGTGATGGGGTGATTAAACTGCAGTATGGTACATGGGGTCCACCATGTTATGGTGGTCTCGAGGGGAGGAGCACCGTCTTATTATCAATGGTCCACCCACATTGTTGATCCTTTAATCGGACGGCAATAATGAGAGAGTGGGGAGTGACGATTGTTCGACTCTTTTTATTTATTTATTTTTTTGCAAGATTGTTCGACTTTGACCTATTTTAAAAAGTTGGTTAAAAATATTTTTTTAATTTTTTAAATATTTTTAGATCATATTAATTTTTTATTTTTTATATATTTTTTTCAAAAAAATAAAAATTAAAAAAAATAAAAAAGTTAATTTTTAACTTCTCAAAATAAATATTTATGTAGGCGATATTTGTGTTCATGCATTAGATTATAGTGACAACATTTATCATTTTAGGCCAACATTTTGGTACAGATATATATATATGTATGTACGTACATTTTTTGAGAAAAAAATGTTAAAGTTAAGAATTAAAATAAATTTTTTATATATATTATTTTTTGGGATTGTGTTAAATTATTTAGTACTATTTCTATTTATAACTTATTAGATAAAAATAATTTAAGTAAATTATAAAAAATGATTATTTAAAAATTGTAAGCAATGTGTTTCTGACTTTTATTTTCTGATTATTAATTTTTAGTTTGCAAAAAAAAATTATACCAAATAAGCATGTGTTCATATATTGAAAATAATTCTCTATTTTAAATTAATTCTTATGCTTTTTTTAAAAAAAAGACAATTTTTATTTTTGTTTTTTATTTATTGATCTCTGACCATAGTCTCATATCTTCATACCCAGTTTTAGTTTTGGTTAGATTGGTGAGTGTGCAAGTATTTGTGTTTCATTCATGGGGTTTGGTGATGCAAGTTACTCTCTAGTAGCATGCTATGTGGATAGTATATATTTATATGTGTGGGACATGATTTTGAAGTACTCCTTTATCCAGACAAATTTTTGACAGAGTCTTTACACGTCACCTGAAATAAAAGTATAACTCCGATTGGTGGTGTTAAAATTAGCATTCCGACATATTAATCAGTTTTCTTGGAGAAAAACTTTTGATACTTTTCTTAGAAAGTCTATGGAGTCTCCTTTTTCTCTTTCATGGAGTTTTTCCTTTGGGTTTCTATCCCAAGCAATGCATCCTCTTGTCATCTCTTCTGTCAGGACCCACTTTCCTATTGCGTTCTATAAGAAAGAGACGGCATGCCTTGTTTTTATTTTTTTATTATTTTTTTTGTCATTTCCAATGTATTAGTGCTATTAGTGATGTATTTTTTAGTGGTCTAAATCATTGTTGTTGGTTTCTATCCCAAGCAATGCATCCTCTTGTCATCTCTTCTGTCAGGACCCACTTTCCTATTGCGTTCTATAAGAAAGAGACGGCTTCCATTCAACGGGTTTCACTCGGCTTGGTCTCCCAAAGGAGAGACTCGTAACTCGGTAGATGCTCTCTAGCGCTGTTTATTTGGCTCTAACTCAGCTCAACAGATCTGCCCAGTAGACCGATCTCGAATTGGGCCCAGTTAGATTGGACACGTTTGGTCCCCGTCTGCCTACTTTGGGCTTTCGTTAAATTCGGCCCCCACAATATGATGCATTTTATTATTATGATTGGTGAAAGGTAATACAATATGAGTCCTATTGGTGAGTATTTATATTTACAATAATGCTTGAGACCACCAAAAGTGATGCTCTAAAAATACCACTAGTGATGTGGCAGTGGATAGGGCCTACTTGTTTTTTTTTGTTTTTTTTATTTAAAGTGCTTGCCAACTTATTAATGGTGCTTTAGAGCACTATTTTTAGTGAAATGTATCATTACGGTTATATTTATGATTGATAGAAAAATAGTGCCACTTGGTCCCCCCCAAAGGCTATGATCTGGGGCATTAAAACTTTGGTTCTTCAGGGCTTTAATTCATTACAAAAATAAATATCATAATACAAATTTTGGAATGAATCACAACAATTAGAGTTTCAAATTATGTTGATCTTTCATAATATTTAAATATATATATATATAACAAGTCTTATAAGTTTAAAATATTATATTGGGCTCTTTTAAACTTTTAATTCACATAACACTTAACTGATTTCATCATAAATTCATTATTTATATGGATGAAAAAATAATGTTCTCATCTCATTTATATTGAAATGTATATTTTTAATTTTTTTAAAAAAATTTGTCTTTGCACCATCTGCATTAGTTTTGGTCTCATCAAATCTTACCAAAACAGAATTCGGTGTAATTATATCAAAATTATGAAAATTGTTGTATTTTTTCAAATCTCATAGAAAGTTGGTGTAATTTATCCAAAAAAAAGGGAACTTTATTTATTGAATTAGAAAAATATATGTATTATGACTATGTTATTAAATTGTATGCATCTTTAATCCAGTAAAAATATAGTTACTAGTTTCATAATTGAATTCTATTCATTTAACTTCTCAATTTCTTTTGATTTTACTAAATATACATACATACAAAAAAAGTATTAAAAAGAAATAGCAATGCTATAAATAATCACATATTTTATGCTGTTTTCTCATTTCTAGGCTAATAAATGCACATTGAATTGACTCACTTATATCTAAGGCTTGGTTTGGCATGTTTAAAAAAAATCAAAAAGTCAAAAAATCACTATCCTATTTAAGTCACATCATCTTATTTAAGTCACATTACCTCTCTAACATATCATTTCAAACCCAATCCATATTTCATAAAAATTCAAAAAGTGCACTCATTTAAAATATCCCAAACAACCCTTAAAAGTGAAAAAAATGTAAGAAATAAAATTATATATAGTATAATAATAAAAAAAAAGAAAAAATCATATCCATTATAGGCTATGGGCCGAGTCTCGGCCAGGTTTTGAAAAACCCATTGAGAAGCTTATCGGTCAGCCCACAGACCTTCTCCCTTGGGCTTGACTCTTTCCTCATATATTGGACAGTGCACTGACTTTTAATGATAGTTTGGGCGGGTCCACAGTTCCTATGACCAGCTAAGCTTTGTTTTGGTCCACTCATTTATTTCTGAAACTCTTACAAGTTAAATCTTTTTGAATTAAAAGAATTTTATTTGTTCAAAAAAATAATTATTTGTTGAAAATTTATATATCTATTTATCTGTTTAAATGCCACTTATCTGTTCAAGTATTTCACTAGCGGTACACGTATTACCTAACCGTGTAACTATTTATTCAAATATCTTATTATTTGTACACGTGTCACTTATGTATACAACTATCTGTTCAAATGTATTACTATTTATACATGTATCACCAATCTATCCATCTATTTGTCTACTTCACTACTACTAGCGGCCGCTGAAGACTTTTCAATGCGTGTTCTTATCACCAAAAAAGATTAAATCATAGATTAAATGACATGATTTCATAGGAATGGACTTTTTACCTATTAATTATTTTTTTTCACAAACTCAAATATTTTTAATAAAAAATTATATATACATATATATATATATATATATATATATAGAGAGAGAGAGAGAGAGAGAGAGAGATTAAAATTGTGCAAAAAATGAACAAACCCAATAACCGGCCCCACCCCAATTTTATTTAAATAAATCTTTAAATGCCTTTGTTATTTTAAAACTTAAAATAATATTTCGGGAATTTGGTCAAAGTATCCTCATAATAAAACTTTAATGTATTAAGGACAAGAACAAAAAAATTTCATTGAAAAGTCTAACACATATTACTATTATCAAAATATTAAATTTTAAAATAATGTAACTTTGATGTAAATATCAATTTTTAATAAAATTAATATTTTTAGAATCCCCTTATCAAAATCTATCAAATAAGATTTATATTGACTATGAATTTTTTTTTTTTAATTATTAACGTCGAAATTGATATATACAGCAACAGTAACATGCTACTCTATTTAACAGTAACATGTTATTCTGTTTTACAGTTATTCTGTTTGATAGTAACATTTTACTATGTCTCACAGTAACATGCTACTCTGTTTGACAGTAACATGTTTCTTTGGTTCACAGTAACATGTAACTCTGGCAATATTGTCCAAGGAAAAAAATATATATATTTTACTTTGTCTTTACTTAATTATGAGTTTTCTCCTTAATAA